TTGTCAGAGAGGGTATTGTCTGTCAGAGAGCAAGTGGAAATGCTTGCGTTTGTTCTGTTGGGTGTCTGAAGGAAAGTACCCCTGTCAGCCAAAGTCAGACTCCTGTGGACTTGACAGCTGCCATTTCAGACCAAGGTAGGTAATTTGACTTAAATGGGAATAAAAAGAAAATTAGAATCTGATAGTCTTTTGTTCTTAAAAAATAGTTTAGGGCCGGCCGAGTGGCTCAGTTGGTTAAGAGCTCGCTCAAGAGTTTGAGCTCTGAACAACAGCAGTTCGATGCCCGGCCCGAGCTGAGCAGCTGCTGAGCTGCCAACAGGTGGCAGGATGGCTCAGCTTAAAAAAAAATAGTTTACATTTTGTCTTCATTAAAGAACCAAGGCAGTGCTACTCAAGGTTACGTGCTGCAGTGTTTTCATAGATTGAAATGGTTGACAAGCCCCAAGTTGCTTTCTCCAATCTCATTCTTTGTTGCTTCTTCCCAAATAATGTATTTCATTGCTAATATAAAAGGTGCGCTGTTGTACTCTCAAAAAGAACTTGGCAGTTCATAAATATTGGGGGAAAAGTATGCAAATCTTTGCAAATCTCTAGGTCCCTTAAGGTTAATTTAACTGTCACACGTAATCTCCCAGGAAAGAAAGCGGCCTGTGTCCGTGAACCAGCCAGTTAACTCAGCTACCTAGTTTCACCTCCCGTGTTATCTTTTCATCACGATATGATTCACTGTGTCAGAAGTATTGATGAGGTCGGTAACCACTTTCTGTTCACACTGATTATTCAGTAACTTTAGGCAAAGCTTGAAGCATCCTGCAGCAAGCAACGGGTCCTTCATCACAAGATCACAAAACAGCATTAGATAATTAAACTTCCCATACCCGTATGCAATTTTAACACATCAGTAAAATATTAGAAGAATTTGTCACAATCATTCTGTAATGGCTTACAGTATTTTTCTCTGCCTCCTAAAACAAAACAAAAAAACCCCAGGCATCACAAATGCATTTTTAGTGTTTCTGTTTGAAAGTTAATGGGCTCTAATTAATTTTCCAGGGACTTTTTGTTCTAGTTTAGGGTCATCCTGCTGCTGCTAATCCCACTTCCACTTGACCATGTTGCTTCTGGATTAAAAAGCGAGGGCATGGGGCCCCAGCCCTTGTCCCCATTTCCACTGGCAAGGGAGCTGGTGATGGCTGTCCTGGTTACCTGTTGCTGCACGACAAGCTACGTATACTTAGTGCCTTAAAACAACAATATCATTTATTTTGCTCGTGAATCTGCAAACTGGACAGGACTCAGCAGGGACAGCCTTTTCCTTGTCCCTGCAGCATCAGCTGGTGACCATAGCGAGAGGCTGAAACCATCATCGGAATGCTCACTCACATGTGTAGTGGCTGATGCTGGCTGAAAGCTGGGACTTCAGCTGGGACTGTTGGCCGGAACACCTGCTTGTGGCCTGTCCGTGAGCCGCTTGGCTTCCCTGAATCATGGCTGTGTTCCAAGAGCAAGTGTCCCAAGAGGACAAAACAGAAGTCCATGGCATTTTTATAATCTACCTTTGGAAGTCACATGGCATCATCGCAACTGTATTGACCGAGGCGGTCACAGAAGTCCGCCCAGGCCCAAGAGGAGGGGACATGAGCCGCACTGCTTGATGGGAGGAGGGTCACCTCTCATTGGATGGGGTATATTGCGGTGGCCATCTTTGGAAAATAAGATCTCCCACAGTGGCTAAATAAGTTATTCAGATGGAAATATTCTTTTAAAAGACCTGCTTTTGAAAATATGTAGATGCTACTCCATTATGTAAACATGGGCAGTATCTCAGGGACAGTCCTGGTATGTGCTGGGCTCTGTGCCAGCCAGGGGCTGGGGTTCTAAAGAGGAGTGAGGCAGTATCCTTGCCTGTAAGTGGTCTATTGGGAGGGACCCTGGAGTAAGTACAGTTATATTTGAAAAATGCAATCATGCAGAGAAGTACTGGTATATATGTGAAAAGAAAATGTAGAAATGTAGGTGTCTTCACAGAGGCAGACCCTTCATGCTGGCTCTTCAAACTTGTAGTAAGAAAAGGGGCAGGAGGCGACCACTTAGAGTACCTCAGCAGCTACATGTCTAAGGAGGACGCCAACTGCATGGCACTGGGAAATAAACACTCTTGAACTTGGATTATTCTGGTTGCATCTTGACTTTAGCTTCTCATGTTGTATATCTGAATAGATCATACTTAGTGACACTTTAATATCATGAAAGAGAATGATATGATAAAAATCATGACTTGGCACATAATAGGAAATGTTATAGATGTAATAACTTTAAATACCTGACATATCCACAAGACACTTGAGTATTGGTTTCCAGACCATTATTTACCAATAAATATGCATGACTAAGTGAATAGTCATTTGTCATTGTTCTCAAATAGCACTGTCTCTCAAGTATAAAGTATCCCTTAGTGACTCCTAAAATAAGTCATGTCCATTGGCGACCAAAGAAGATGCTTTTGGATAAAAAAATACCTCCAAACCCTTTTTCATCTATGCATTTTTAACATAAATGAGATAACTTTATGCATGTAGTTCCGAGACTTTTTCGCTTACAGATGGTGGGTGGATATTTCCCGTGTCAGGTCATGTAGGTCTGTGTTATTCTTTCTAAGACATACATTTAGGCTGCCTCAGTGTGTACGTACCATAATCTAACCATTCCCTACATAACGGATATTTAAATGTTTCCTGTGTTTCACTATTGCAGACAATGGTATCTCTGGGTGATGGACTGTGGATTGTTTTGACTTTTCTGTATTTTCCAGAATTTCATTTAGTAAGTGATATGAAAATATATTTTGGTTTTGAAAGAGATACCAGTGCATCAGATGCATAAGATAGCCAGAGACAGGTTATTCACTATATAAATAGGTGGTTCACATTTGGTTTTAATTCTCCCTGTTTCATTTCAAAGTATTTGTTTTGTAAGGGGAGTCTTCCAGAAAAAAGCCTTGTGATTGGCCTATTCTTCATTCCACTTTTACACCAACTAGGCAAACAATATAGGAGTTAGGGAAACATTTTGGGTAAACAGTTGAGAACAGGTTGGAAATAGTGTCCTTGTTTGGATAACTTTTAAAGAAATACCTTCTTGCATGTGGATTTATCTGTTGGGGAGCTTGGGTTATTTTCTTGTTGAAAAGTGTATCCCTTGTCAGAAGTCGGGATTGTGGTTACTCGTGGATGGAGAGAGCGTAACTGGTAGGGATCCCTGGGGATGGCAGACGTCTGGGGTGCTGGCAATGGCTTTTCTTCAAGGCGGTGTAACTTACACACAGCTGTGCTCACTTGATGAAAACACCAAGCCCTACACTGTTGTTTCCTGTGCTTTTCTATATGTATGTTATTCTTCAAGTTCAAAGCTAAAGGGCCGTGGAGTGAAAGATGATGTCAGTTTAGCAGGCCCAAAGAAATCACTGAAAAAAGGGAGGAGGCAAGAGGACTTATAAGTGCGGAGTAGTTTCAGAACAAAACACTGTATCATTCGAGGAAGTGAGAAAAGGTAGCTAATGACAAAATTCCCACCATGTCAAATAATATTTTTACTATTTAATAATGATTGTAAGACTGTTGCAGGCTTTGACAATTATTCCTTTGTTTTATCCGTAAGGTGGTCACTGTGCTAGCTACTTCATCCCAGGTGAACCCCTCCACCCCTGTACTTGAATGGGGATTCCCACCCCCAGATCCACCCACATCTTACTGCATCAGCTAACCATGCCCTGTCTGCTTCTCCATGAGTTCCTCAACCAGTGAAAACTTCCAATCTCTTCCTACCCTAGAAAATGTCTCCCACAGCCAAGCCCCTTCTCCAGTGTTCCCCCTCCCCTCCTGGCATTCCCTCCCCTCCTTGCAGCCTCCCTTTCCTCTGTTTTTAACTATCCCTTAACTCCGTGCAACTCAAAAGCGGTTATGTTGGTCTGTTGTATTACTGTGTTGCATTGTAATCATTTATGTGTCGCCCACTCCACACTATCAGACTAGCAGCAGTGAAGAGATGCTGTTTATTCTCCTTCATATTAGCAGAACCGAGTACAGTGTCCTCCTTTCAGAAAGCTGCATTCATTGTTACCGCCAGGAAACTCTCAAGTAAATAATGCCCCCAGTGCCATGATACAAGAGCACATTCCAGCTCTGTCCTCACTCCACCACTGCCCCCCCATGGGGCTTAGACCTCTCCTGACTCACGTTCCCGTAGAGTCGGTTAGTCCTGTAAGCTCTCGAGTCCATCCTGCCCACCACTGTACTCCCAATAACCAGCCAAGTGCCCGACTCATGGCAGGGGCTTCCTAGATACCCCTCTAATAAATGCGGGAATATGTGAATGAATGAAAAAGAAGTGTGGAGAGTGAACCGAGCATAGATGGGCAACGTTCTTGGGGCTGGGACAGAGAGAAGACGTTTCTGGTTTTCATCCTTTCTGTGTCCTAAACGAGAGCAGTGTTTTTCAAACAACTTGTTAAGCTCAATTAATAAATTGTGAAATCAACTTTGTGAGCCACAATTGACATTTTAAAATGAAATCGAGTAGGATAGAAGAAAACAGGTACAGGAATAGAATAAGATGGAATGGAATAGAAAAGAAAATATCAGTAAGGAGACAGTTCCCAGAGTCCTAGCCAGAGATGAGGGGTGATGTGGTGGCTCCTGTCATCGCCATGGTCAGGATGACATGCTCGCCCATAAAGGCAGGTGGGTTAGCTGCACCTGAACCCCGTGGACTAAGATGGGAAGAAGGGTGACATCAGAGATTTCAGCAGACAAAGGACCAAACAAAACAAACAAAAGTAGTTCCCAGTAGGTCCCCCAGCTCCCAGGCCCACCATATCCAGCTGTTCTCTGGGCTGCTGACTGGGGAATGCATGGGTGAACTACTGACGTGGAAGGCTCAGCTGTCACATACCAACATTCTGTTTACTAAAATCACCTTCTTTTCGTATTTCCCAAATCTAGATTGCATTCAGGAGGAACAAACAAAAACCTGAAGCAGTCAAGACACAGAACAAGAGCAGACGAGGTAACTCCAAATACTTTCAGGTATGTCAGACAGCTGTTTTATAACGTTTTATCAAAACCTTATCATAAAGGGAAGAGGATGAATGAATGTTGACCTCAGGTTTGGTGAGATGTCTGTCACTGGGGCTCTTTAAGGGCACGCCACGTGCTTATTGTCTGAGATGTGAAGGAGAGAATGCCAGCACTGTGGGGCAGGGGATGAGCCTACAGTCCTGAGGGCTTTTATCTCCTAGAACACATTTCTAGAAGTTCTTCCAAAGCACACAAACAAGCAAAAGGTGTTCCAGCTTCCTGGCCTCACTTGGGTCACAGTGTCCGATCAAGGCCCAAAGCCACTCAGGACAGCCACTGATTTTTACAGGCGGATAATGTGACTCGGAGGAAAACACAGCACATTTGGGGGCATTTTTCAATTTTCTTCTTGTGCTTTACGAGAGCCAGTGTAAGAAAAGAGACTGAATTCAATAAGCCTTGTATATGAAAGCCCTACAAGTATTTCAGGGAGGGGAAAGTGGACTTGTTGTTTAATGGGCACAGAGTTTCACACTGGCAGCATGAGAAGTGCTGGCGATCTGTTTCACAATAGTGTGAATAATGTGAACACTGGTGAACTGAGTAGTTAAAAATGGTTACGATGGTCAAGTTTATGTTGTATTTAAAACAGTACTTCATTGTATATGTTTTTTAAAATTCTGTGTAAGTAGGAAAATTAGATTAGCTTTCTCATTGTTACTCCCCCATAGCACCTAGATTCTACAAGGGATTGCAGATCAAATGAGGTGTTTTGGAGTTCTCTGCCATGTGGTTGTCACCCGCATAATACTGATAGTTGCAAGAGCCCAGTCACATGGGAGCTGTGGTGGCTTACCCAAGCTGCTGCCTGGGTGCCCACCAGCCAGGCGCCTTGCCCAGTCAGCAGTTGGAGCTGGGTGTCCCCCTGGGGCTGGAATGCAGCTTGCGTGAGTGCCCACTCAGTGCTAAATAATGAAGGGCTGTGAGCCAGAAAAGGAACTTGGTACATTTTATGTAAGGGGCTTTGGCATAGTTAGTGATAATTGGATAGTCTCTTTTGCCACTCAAAATAGAGCAAAACAGATTAATGTAAATTAGAAATGTTCTCCAGGTCTATAGGTTGAAGTAATCCATAACAATTGGAAAGTTAACCTTCACGACATGGGATTTAATGAGATGATATATGTAGAAAACATCCAACGCAGAACCAGACACAGAGAAGGGTTTTGTAGAGAGTAGATACTCAGTACAAATTTGTGAATGAATGAATAGTGAGGGCTCAGTAAATGTTAGCTAGCCATGTCTTAGATATCCAGCATGAAACAAAAAATGCCTTCCTTGGAAGACGTGACAAAGCTGACAAAATTGGAGCAAATTGCCGCTTAAGATATTGTACTTAAGGAAACTGTTGCTAAAAATTCGGATGCTATGAGAAAGACAGTGAAACCTGTGAAAAACAATACAAAAGAGGCAGCTTTGGGAAACCTGAGCACATGACATTAGGTGGTCACACACTGTGTTGATGAGTGGCATTCTCACATTAAGGCACGCAGCTTTCAGACTTGCCCTTTTCTCTTAGTGACTCGATTTATTCAACATTCATTTAACACACATTTAGTAAGCGCCAGGTGCTGGGCTTGCCCTGAAGATGTGAACATGTGTACAACGTAGGCCCTGTCATTTCGGGATCTCACAATGAGGAGGAATGCTGACACACAACTAAATGTCATAATGTAGTAACAGCCTAACACAGCAACGTAACGGCGTCACGTAATGTAAGTGGCCGCGCAGCACAAAGGTGTGATTCATGTCGCCTGGTTGGTGTGAGGGAAGGAAGAGGTGGGAAGGGCTTCAGAGGAATCAGTCATATTTTGAATGGTCTTCAGAGTGGGAGTTTGCCAGACAGATAACTGAACAGCAGGGGGAAGAAAGATAGATGAAAGGGAAAAGGAAAAATACTAGTTTTAATATAAGTTAATAATAATAATGAGGACTTACCAGGCACTTGAAGTGCATTATATATTACATTATGTAATGTTTCGCCGACTGTGTGTGCGCGCGCACGTCTGTGGGAACACCATTGTGAGCACAAGGCGGGCCTGAGAGAGAGAAGACGGGAGGAAGCCTGGAGCTTGTTCCCAGGCCCGGCTCCCACGCCGCCGGGAGCCTCATCACCGCCCTCCTCCAGCAACGGATAGCCTCTGCCCCCACCCCCGTCACCCCCACTTACTCCTTCCATCTGGAGAGACTCATGCCTGAAAGGCAGGGGCACCACGGAGCAGGAAAAGCAGCATAAGAGGACAGAGCATGGATGACAGTGACGTGGCTGTCACTTCACTATGGTGTGAAAAGCCAGCACCATCATCACTGGCCGGGGCTGGGAGCACCCCGCCCACAGACATGAATGTCCTACAGAGACACGGTGCATGTGCAGCGACCTGTAACCAGAGAGCCTGCAGACGTAGTGACTTGCCTACGCCAGAAGAGGTGCGCACACACCGACCGAGTGAACTCCTCCCGCTTTCTGGAATGGATGCCAGCAAGCCTGAGGCTGGGCAGGCAGCCTGCATTCGGTGTTGAACCCCAGAGCTGCTCTCCCGCTTCCTGCACGTCGTTCCCTTGCTAGTTAATCATGAGCCGGGCTTAACTGGAGGCTTGCGATGCTGTATCTACTAACTGCATCTCCTGTTGCTCTTGCCATCACCGAAGTGTAAGAAGAACCTTACTAGCTTGTTGTATGTCCTCCCCCACCTAGAATTCTGCATAACACCTGGTTGGGACTCAGTGAAAATGGAACTTAAAAAAAAAGACTTTCTCAACAGGTGTTATATGTGGTATGGTGACATGAAAGGATGTACAGTTGTCTCTCGGTATCCGAGGGGGGTGGGTTCCAGGACCCCCACGGATACCAACATCCGCAGATGCTCAAGTCCCTTATGTAAAATGGCGTAGTTTTTGCGTATAACCTACACACATCCTTCCATCTATTTCACATCATCTCCAGATTCCTTAGAATGCCTAGTACCGTGTAAGTGCTATGTAAATAGTTGTTATACTGTATCGTTTAGGGAACAATGAAAGAAAAAGCCTGTGCGTGTTCAGTCCAGACCCCACCATGTTGCCTAACTATGAATACATAGTGTACGTCAGCGACAACATGACTTTTTTTCTGAATATCCGTGGTTAGTTGAATCTGTGGATTGGGACCCTTGGGTACCCCGACTGCGTACCGCAAGCTTAGGGCCGTGGTTCTGACTTGAGCCCATCAGAATTCTGGGAGGGCCTGATCCAACACAGACTGAGGGCCATTTCTCCTGCACCCCCGCCCCCCAAGTTTCTCACAAGTTTCAGGTGATGATGCATTCTTTGACAATCACTGGCTTAGAGTAATTAAACTTAGTTGGCCTTTAAAGCGGGGTTGGAGAGAAAGATGTCAGTATGTTTACTGCAGCAGCCAACTCAGATGTCAGGGACTCAGAAGTCCCATTCAGAGGTGGCAGTGGGGCCTGCACTTAGGCTGCGAGACAAGCAGCTCAGCCACGGTCTTTCCACATCAGAAGGGCTGGCAAAGGAACTACAGTGGAGGCTGTGGGAAGTAGCATTTCTTCGGTGAGAAAATACTGCTTGTTGTTGCTGAAACAGAGATGAGGGTGGGGCGGGGAGGAGACACAGTGTTTCCTGGAGGGGAAGGTGACAGTCTGACCCTAAGGGCGGTGTGTGTTCATGAGGTACGCCATCTTGGTGACACAGCACTGGGTCAAGGTTTGGTCCTGCCGTTCTGCCCACTGTGGGACTCTGCTGAGGCCGTCCAGGGAGCGGAGGCTGTTCACACATCCAACACGATGGAGGGTGGCAGAGGTTTTGCCAGTTGGCATCGTTACCCCACTCCACGTTCCCCCCACCGCACCCGGGAGATCTTACTTGGAGCACGGAGCACTGAGGCTGGACCATGGTGGGGATTGAAAGCCACTGTTTAATAATACTGAGCTCAGAAAAAACCGGAAACAAACTTGTAATCCCAGAATCTGAGAGGCACATTAAGAAAGTGCCAGGAAAGACCAGGGGAAGGCCCTGGCTTACGGGGCGTAGAAAGAGGCGCTGGAGCACCAGCCTGGCTTTGAACTCAGCCTGCACTTTGTTTGCTGTGAGTTTGGAAAATTTGTTTAACCACCCAGCCTTGGTTTTCTTTATCTGTGATTAGTGGACATTGAGGTTTTCATTTTTTACAGTTGTGTACAATGCTGCGATCAGTATCTGTACATACATCCTTGTATTAATCTGATTATTCAGAAGAGATTCCCAGACGCCGCATTGCTTGGCCAAAGGTATGCAGTTGATACAAGTGGTCAAATTGTCTTCCCAAAGTTTCCAGCATTTTACATGTAACGACAGCGTAAGGGAGTGCTTGTTTCCCAGCACCCTTTCTATCATGGGGTATTAAAAAAAATATTTTGTTGACTTTACGTGAAAGTAGGCATCCCTTTGTCGTTACATGGCAATGTTTTTTTTGTTTGTTTGTTTGTTTTTCCAGCTGAGCCATCCTGCCACCTTTTTGCAGCTCAGCGGCAGCTCAGCTCCGGCCGGGCATCGAACTGCTGTTGCTCAGAGCTCAAACTCTTGAGTGAGCTCTTAACCAACTGAGCCACTCGGCCAGCCCACGTGGCAATGTTGTATTCACTAATTTAGTTGGATCTTTTTTACACGTTTATTGACCATTTGTGTTTCTTTTTTTGTGAATTGTCAGTTTATGGCCCATACCCATTTTTCTGTTAGTTCACTTGGATTTTCTTTACTGTTTTATAAGAATTCTTTATACACAAAGAAGGGTAAATTTTTATCTGCCATAATTCGCAATTTTTGTTTGTCTTTTTATTTTTTGTGATGGCTTTTTATATTTAGAAGCTTTAAGGTTGATGTGGACTGAATAATTTCTGATGACCTTTGAAATTATTCATGGCATGCATTCCTGATGATTTGGGGGGAAATGCATTTATATACACACAGAATTA